CGTACCGAGCGATTGTTAGCGTACCTCCATTTATTTAAGAGCTGTCAGAGGGACCGTGTTGTACTTAGGCCCAAATTAACATGGATCTGGATAGGGATTGGCTGAATGCAAATGAGAGAAACACCCAAATTTTAGGTTCAGCCAATCAGCAAAATTTCAGAGGAGAGGAATCCAGGCGTTCCCGGAACCGTCGGGACTTCTGCCTCTCCAGAACAGTCAGTCATCAGAACGAAATAAGAGTAGTCGGTCAGTACAAGGCAATAAGAGCAGTCAGTTATTGCAAGTTATTACAAGTCAGTACGAGTCATCAGAAGGAAATAGCGGGAGTCATTAGCCCAAGGGAATAACCGGAATCAGTAGTAACCTACTGGACGTTAAATCGGTGTTGGCCCTAGTCCAGTGTACAATTCAAAGTGCTATAGCCGGGTAATAGGTAATTGTAGTGAACAGCCACAATAAACGCAACATTATTGGTGAAGTGCGAGTTGTTTTCAGTGTTCTCTCTCTCCTTGTGTGAGCAAGGCCCAGAAGTCGCCCTGAGACAGAATCTCGTCCTACCTTCTGAGCAGTCGGAACCCCAAACGCCCGCCTATCCAAATCCCCACCTTGTTTTCCCCGTTCCAAACTCGTGGATTTCACCCAAGTCCACTGACGCCCATACAAATTCAAATTCAGAGCAATCCCAAACCCTAACCTGAACCAGAAAGTAACAGGAAGCGGCGGATGCAAGTGGAGACCACAAAGGGGCGAACGTGAATGACAGGTATAAGTGACTACCAACTCGTGAGGCTTGAAGTCTCACTGAGCGGTAAGGACGACGAGTAAAGGAGGGCGGTAAGATATTGGAGACATAATTTGTAAAGATGTGAACAGGAATTCATTGCTGTTGCTCTCATGTTTACGGCGATAAGCTGTAAAAACGTGCCATGTCCGTCTTCTTGCATGTATCAATTCGAGAACTGCTAAACCGATTTTCATGAAATTTGATATCAATAACTCAAATATTGGTTATTAATGTATGTCAAACAAATAACATAATCGGGGTAAACCTCGATCGTTAGTGATGAAAGTAAATTGTCCTACAAAATCGAGTGTTAATGTTCATAATCAGCAAATGTCGACACTGAATTACCCTACTTACGTGTGCGAGTTAATACCCACAAATATCGATAGATATCGAACAGCATGGTGTGCCTGTCACTGCACAAGCAAATTAAACGGGAAGTGCGGGGGCACTTCCGGATGGAGATGACGTCATGTGCGTCTGGGAGTGGTAAAGTGGGGGAAGCGATGCTTGTTTTTTCCTCGCGCTAATGTCAGTGTAACAAGAAACGGTGGCTCTTAGACAAAAGCTTGACTGGCGTTGAAACATCCCAGACTATTGGATAACTGAGATTGATACCCTTACTTACTTACTCCTGGAGCTAAGCCCTTCTTGAGGAGCGGCCAATTCTGCAGCTACTCAAGAATTTCTCAGCATTTCATGGAACCCGAAGGTTCATTACCGTGTTCACAAGAGCCCTCCATTGGTCCGTATCCTGAGCCAGACCAATCCAATCCATATCATCCCATCCTATCTCTCTAAGATCCATTTTAATATTGTCGACCCACCTACGCCTTGGTCTTCCCAGTGCCCTTTCCTTCTGGCTTTCCCTCGAATATCCTACATGCATTCCTCTCCTCCACCATTCGTGCTACATTCCCTGCCCCCCCCATCCTCCTTGACTTGATCATTCTAATTATACTTGGAGAAGAGTACAAGTTATGAAGCTCCTCATTGTGCAGTTTTCTCCAACCTTCTGTCACTTGAGTGATACCCTAGAACTCCGAATAAACACGTGCAAAACATCCGACGTAAAGAAATGTACTAGAGACAACTGTCCTCGCGGGACAGCCAATACACAAATCCACAATTTATGTATTTGATTATTTTATTTATTTATATATTTAAAGACTCTATCTGTGGCTCACATGACTAGAAAATTCAGGGCTACTATACACGATTCATTCGTTGTTAAAACGTTATATTTTCCAAAGTATTACACGTACAAATATGATTTATATATAAAAAGAACCGTAAACTCACCAAGTTTGTATTGTGTGTACCATTTGGCAGCACGAGTTCAGTGCCTTTACAAAATGGCGACAAAGCAAGAAAAGAGTTTTTGTTTGTTGGAATACGCGAGATGTTCGTCTGTTATAGCAGTGCAACGCGCATTCAAAAGAGAGTATGGAAAGGAACCGCCATGTAAACAAAGCATTTTGCGGTGGTATCGGAAATGTTCGTCGCTACCTAAACAATGAACTTCGGCACCGCTGAATTGGGCGTCTTGGTGAGGATGAAGTGGCTCTGTTCACTTGGCCCCCCAGATCACCTGATCTAACGCCTTGTGACTTGTGTTTACGTAGCCCCACTGCCAAGAACACTAGTAGAGCTGAGGGAACGCATCGATGCTGCAGTGATGACCATTGACAGGATGATGCTACAAAATGTGTGGAACGACTCGACTACCGCCTGGACGTGTGTCGTGTTACCCAAGGGGCACACATAGAACATTTGTAAAGTGTGAAGAAAACTTGATGAGTTTACGGTTCTTTTTATATATCAATCATGTTTGTATGTGTAATGCTTTGGAAAATATAGCGTTTTAAAAACGAATGAATTATTTATAGTAGCCCTGTATTATTCCGGCATTTGCATAAAGGGACAGGCATAATACGAATTCCTCATCAGGCTAGATCTCTGGGCTGAAATTCGAACCTGCGACCTCCATAATACGTAACAGCGGAGTCACCCCGTTGGTGGTGACGCGCCAGTATGTTTATCACAAAAACATGTGCCAATGCATGGAGCTATGCTTTCACTTCCTCACACGTCTTCATGGCGCGATAATTATGCACTGGGACCAGTCATATCTCACCTTTACTTGCTTACACAGGGATTTAATTATATTACGCGACAGTAAGCCCCTAACCTGCTTACTTTCCAAGCACGTTCGCAGCGTCACAGACTGAACAAGCTGTGTTCTAAAGCAACTTCGCTGGGCACAGGAACAACCAAAACGAAACCGCACACTAACGAATCTGTAAGTGTCGACTGGCTGCGAGCTGCACAGCCAAGGGGTTCGAGTTCCGGTCCCGGTACGGACGAGATTTTGTATCCTTTTCACGTTGTCCAGACAGGTTCTGAGGCCCACCCAGCGTCCTATCCAATGGGCACCGGGGGAAAGACAGCTAGGACGTGTAGCTGACCACTCGCCTCCACCTAGTGCCGAGGTCAAGAATACATGGATTCATACATCCACCCCCCAAAAATCTTTAATACTCGAAGTGTCTCTTCCTTCTAAACGACTGGCTTCGAAAATTCTGTTACCATATTTATTGTCCTACAAATTTTCTATTAGAATGTGATGTTAAGTAGGTCATTCTACAGAGAAGGTTTGGGTAAATTCTATACGAGCACTAGAGCAACACACTAAGAAAGCATACTCGTAGACCCCATGCGAGGGGTAAAGTTAATGCACCACGAATTTGAATATTCGACGTCTAATGGTATGTTTCTTTCTTTTTCGTGAGCTATAAACTGGCGCTTTCAGTATCGACACCAGTCAGGGACCGATGACGGATGAATCTGAAGGGATCTGGAAGAAAGCGATACTGTCTTACTCAACGTACCTGTAGGGACTGAGAAAACCATGAAAACCTCAAGTCGGGATATATGGTGTCCTGGTCGAGACTCGAAATAAGCACTTCCAGAATACAAGTCTAAAGGGTTACCTGTATACCTGCTCAAATTTATCGCTGGGAAAAGTACAGATGGCTGTGCGCACTCTGAATATGCACCAGCTATTCTTAAAAATAAACAAATAAAAACTCTGCATTCTGCCCACAGAGTGTATTTGTGTGCTCCGTATGGTTCTCACAATAAACAGCGGCTGTTTTCCTAAACAGTATTAACCGGTTGGGCTTTGTAGAGGAGATGTAATGTGTTTCCTGTGAGGTACGGACTGAGTTTTCTGCCCACAGAGTGTATTTGTGTGTTGCGATGGTTCTCACAATAAACAGCGACTGTTTCCCTAAACAGCATTTACCGGTTGGGCTCTGTAGCGGGGACGTAATGTGTTTCCTGTGAGGCATGGACTGAGTTTTCTGCCCACAGAGTGTATTTGGGCGTTCCGTATGGGTCTCACAATAAACAGCGACTGTTTCCCTAAACAGCGTTAACCGGTTGGGCTTTGTAGAGGAGATGTAATGTGTTTCCTGTGAGGTACGGACTGAGTTTTCTGCCCACAGAGTGTATTTGTGTGTTGCGATGGTTCTCACAATAAACAGCAACTGTTTCCATAAACAGCATTAACCGGTTGGGCTCTGTAGCGGGGACGTAATGTGTTTCCTGTGAGGCATGGACTGAGTTTTCTGCCCACAGAGTGTATTTGGGCGTTCCGTATGGGTCTCACAATAAACAGCGACTGTTTCCCTAAACAGCGTTAACCGGTTGGGCTTTGTAGAGGAGATGTAATGTGTTTCCTGTGAGGTACGGACTGAGTTTTCTGCCCACAGAGTGTATTTGTGTGTTGCGATGGTTCTCACAATAAACAGCAACTGTTTCCATAAACAGCATTAACCGGTTGGGCTCTGTAGCGGGGACGTAATGTGTTTCCTGTGAGGCATGGACTGAGTTTTCTGCCCACAGAGTGTATTTGGGCGTTCCGTATGGTTCTCACAATAAACAGCGACTGTTTTCCTAATCAGCATTACCGGGGACGTAATGAGTTTCCTGTGAGGTACGGACAGAACATTTATATACTATTTATATCAGTGTCTCTCAACCTTTGTGAGATCGCGGCCCATTAAATTCTTTTCTTATAAGACGATGGCCTCGAGTAATTTCTAATTGATGCCAGGGCCCGGTACCGGGCACCAGACTGGCCGACTGACCGTCTGTCGTAACGTAAATTTGAAGAACAGAGAAGGGTTAGGAAACAACAACAGGCACCTACCTATACAGTATATTCACGGCATCTGCTGCACTTTCAATGCGAATACAGGAACAGTAACTTACTTAATGTGACTCAACCGCGAACAAAGACACTCACACACCAAACACTCCGACAGCTGCAGTTCTACTGCCTTAGCGGCTCTTAGCGCGATACACAGCCTGACCACCTCCTCCTGCCTACCACAACAGTTCGAACTCTTGACTGACACGACTTCCTCCAGCTAACGGTACGCCAATAAGCTAGTGTTACACTATCACCCGAGAGGAGGAGGGGGCATTAGACGAAAGTACTTTTTACATGTCGGATTCAGCCGAAATACTCAATCATTTTAGAAGCATTTAATCATATCCTCCGCAATTAGGCGTAAAAATGTAATTTTCTACTGACGGTTTTGGTACGGTACAGACACTAAATACGAGTGCAAACGCTTAAGTTCAATAAGTAACTGGGGGAGAGAAACAATAAAGGGGCTCATGTCAACAAATCTGGGAGCCACTGCTCTAGACTTACATTCCAAATGTGCTGGGTTCCAATCTAGGTTGGTACAATGGTTTTCGCGACTGAGGTTTTTCGTACTTTTTCTCAGTCCCTTCAGGCGTATGGCGGTATATCTTTCTAAAGGCTTCTGACAATGATTTAAAACTTTCAGAATTACTAGGTTCTTGGACTTTGTACATCGTCCGGTATTCTAAAAACTACGGAACACGACGTTTCGGAAACTGGATCTGTTTCCGTCCGGTGACTGAGCGTAGCTCTAGGAGACTCAACAGAGCAGGTACCTCCCCACTCACCTGAGGAAGGAAACACGTCCAATTTCCGAAACGATATGTTCCAAGAAGATGGACACAGTCCAAAAACCCAGTAATTGCAAAGAATACCATGTTTATGAGTAAACAAACATCCGGTCCTTGCTCGTCAATTGTTAGGAATTCTCGCGCTGCCGACACGTGCTGTAATGGCGTGCACACGGCAGAGAGTGAGTAATTTGTTGGTCACACATTAAGCTTACGGGCAAAGGGCATCGTCATATTGTAGCATGTAGACCCGTTGCTAAGTAACGACCCTGTAAACAGCGCCCGTTGCTAGGCAACAGATTCCTAGCACGCACCAACAGATTAACTGGGAAGCGGTGTTCTCTTAGCGGTTAGTGCGACAGTTGGGTCACGCAACAATAGAAGTGTTAGAAGCGGTGGTTTCTATGCGGTCCTTGTCGAGGTGTTATAAGGGGAACAAATCCAGAGTTTAGTTAGTTCGGAGAAAGCTGCCGGCCACTATGGAAGTGAACACGGAAGCTGAGGAACCTACGGCATTAGAAGCCGTTATCAGACAACGACTGGTGAAGATACAGCAGATTGAAAAGACTTAATGCGTGCTGTAATGTATTGTGGAGTGGGTGCCTTAGCGATAGTGCTATAGTTACTTGTAGTTAGACCTGTAAGTGTTCAATAAATCCAATTACCAATCCGAACCCAGTCTACAGTCACTCATACAGGTGACAATATTATTGTCAAATTCAATGCCAGTTGCAATGCTGGTTACAATAACGACATCTTAGCAAGCTGGCCCCGCCGGTAACACTTCTACCTTGTATCGGTTTGAATAACGACTATCCTTATTTAAATGTTTCGTGGTTTCCCTCTGTGCTACAGGAGAAATGCCGGTACAGTGCCCCACACTGGGCCACATCCTTGATAGCTCCCTCGGTACAACGACCATAGCACGGGCTGGACGACCAAGAGTTCTGAATTAGATTCCCGGGGTTCAGCCTTGCCCTGGGGACCACCCAGCCCCCTGTCCAATGGGTACTGGAGGGCTACTCCTCCTGGGGAGTGAAGCTGACCACTCACCTCCATTTAATACAGACGTTAATAATACGTGGAGCTATACCTCCATTCCCCCAACCGTATTCACGACGAGGTGCTTAATTAAGTATGGTGACAACTTTACTGTTACCTTTATGAACGATTTATGTAAGGTAATGTAAAGGTATGTACCGTCTTCGCTCGCTTGGAAATCGGGATCGTGGGTTCGAATCCCATTCAGGGCATGGACGTTTAGTTTGTGTGTGCGCGTTTTTCTGTGTTTGTGTACAGGCAGAGGCCTTGCGACGAGCTGATCACCCGCCCAAGGAGTCCTACCGAATGTGTAAGATCTCGAAAAACCGAAGTGAACGGAGAAGTTCATGGAGGTAGGCCTAGGCCCACTGGGGCTGTAGTGCCAAGGAAAAAAAAAGTAAAAGTAAAGCTGCCCTGTGCTTATTAATTAAGCACTACGCCATGAAGACATTTGGGGGAATGGAGGTATAGCTCCACAATTCTCGACCTCGGCACCAGATGGATGTTGATGATCAGCTTTACTCCAGGAGAAATCGCCCCCGGGTCCCATTGGATAGGGGGCTGGGTGGGCCCCAGAGCCGGTCTGGACGCTGTGGACAGGAGAAAACTCTCTTGTCCCTGCCGAGAATCGAACCCCATCTTTAAAAAATATGCAAATTTTGTTGAAGATTTTCATTGCCAAATTTAACACAACAAAATGCCCGAATAATACATATATACAGTAAAACTTGGTTATAGCAACATCGGTTTCTGCGACACCTTGTCTATTGCGTCAAATATTCAATGGTACGAACTAATTCCTCATAAAGCAACTGTTTTTATACCTTGCTTAGTATGACATGCACAAATGCAGCAACCTCGTATGTAACGTCATTTTCATTCCTGAATTTCTCTGATATCGTGGGAAAGTTCGATGTAGAAAGTGTGTATTGGTTTCTCTACTTGAAACAGATGAAG